TCCCCAGCCCGCAGGCTGGCTGAGGAATTCTGGGAGTTGAAGTCCACATAGCTTAAAGTTGCTAAGCTTGAGAAACACTGAGCTAGACACTAGTGCTAAATGCTCACTCAAACACCTGCATTAAAGACAATTTCTCAGCAGAGAACTAGTTATCAAGATGTAGAAATCTTTCTGATCTGCTAGATGTCTTTGTGGCAGAACTTTGTTTTCTCTGTTTGGGGGTTAGAAAGAGGAGCCTTTATGCAAGTTCTCATTTGCAGGCTAAAAGGTATGGTCTAACCACAGGTTTTGCCAGTTCAGCCTCTTTCCCAGTAGAACCAGGACATTTTCTTCTCCAGAAACAGAACATGAAGCCTGTCAGAAGCTCTTGAGATTCTTCAAATCCATCTCACTTTGAACTCTCAGCGATCAGAGCTGAAACCTAATTGGCAAAGCAGCCTTAGAATCATCTCACATAACCACCTCCTCCAGGAAAAAGGCATTCAGGGGTGGCCCACCTTTGATATGAAGAAGTCAGTCATGTTGAGTTGACTTAGAAGCATCCCAAAGACCAAGAGATAAAATTAGGAGAGCTTACTTTGGGCCACACAACCTCTTCAGCTCTTCTTTCAGGCTCTTGTTTTCCTCTCTCAGCTTATTCATTTCATTAGCTATAATGGAAGGAAGAAGGAAAATGGTGGATTAAATCAGCTTTCCCCAGCCCTCCAGAAGTTCTGGGACTTATGGCTGGAATGACGTCAGGCTTATAGACTGAAAGAAGAGAATGTGCATGTCACAGAGCTAAGGTTACCAGATATCTGAACAGGCAAAGGAGGACAGGGACAATTGGAAAGGAAGACACACTAACTGTTGAACGTTCTTGGCATCCATGACAAAAATTACAGTGAAAAACTCCCAAAGAAAATGTACCTATATATACAGTATATGAAATTACATTTTCCAACATTAGAAAGAGTGGTTTTTAAATTGCTGAAATGTGTTAGAGCCAGGAGTTAGAAGTTAGGACACAAAAGCCTTCAGCATGTAACTGATTATTGTCTTGGTAGTTTCAGGCATCAGAGCAAGCCAGAATCAACTAGAGCAGTGGTTCTCAACCTTGGCAACTTTAAACTGTATGGACTCCAACTCCCAG